CGACAGAGCCGGCTTCAGATATTTTACAAGCTGAGCAAAATGAGCGAATATTAATGATAGAGAGAATCAATTACCTTACATACGCTGCTAGGCAAGCAGTCTTTAGTACAAAACAATCTAAAAGCAGAGTCATTATGTAATATATAAACTATCCTTATCACTTCTATTCGTGACGATACACGCATAAAAGAAACTAAGAATTAAAATTCCTATGCTCCCTTTTTGACCAACACACCAACATTTTAGTAAAGTACATATATATATGCATATACCCCCCCCTAAAAAAAAGAATGACACCCATATCTCTAAAATATGTTTCACTAATATTTTTAAAAGGTGGGGGGGGGGGGGGGTCCATGCTATCATTGAGCCTCATGTGACTTTTTAAAATTATTGCGTAGTGTTTCTATTGCCATAAACAGACTGCATTATAACCTCCATAAATCCTACAAAGTAGTATCAGTGAGCATTAACTTTACTGGGGGATGTTTTGCGTACGTACTTAATGTCAGAAATAAAAGAGATCCTATATATAGAATGTGCTTTATGCAAGTAACCATTTGCCTGCCGTTCATGAAATGTCAGATGACCCCAAAAGAAAAAAATGAGCCTCGGGGAATGTTATTGAAATATGATATATAACCCAATCGTTGTTCCCAATTCCCTTTTAATTCAATATGGCTTGCAAAGTATACTTGTTATTTATATCAAGTCCAGCCGCTACTACATAAAATGTTGACTTTCCCCCTGCCCTCAAGAAAGGACCCCCCCCCCCCCAAAAAAAAAAAATATCGTTTTCCTAGAAAAAAAATGATTGCACTTTCAAATGGAAAATGAAGGGAACAACTAAAAGCGTTAGGTTATAGACTTTTGAAAATTGTCTTTTAGCCCATATTGTTTACTAGTGATAATAATGATAATTTGTTATTAAATAGATATGATTGTAAATAAATGTATATCTAAATATTGACTGTATTTCTTTTCAAATGTATTGGTAACCATTCAGCGATTATATCCCAACTTAAAAACAATAGCACACTTTCGTAAAATAAATAATAAGTGATTTCATGGTCACAATATTCCTTTGTGGTTTTCGTGTATTCATCGGTCATAGTGAAAAACTTGTATAAATTTTAACAAAATGTATAAGCTCAATATTGTTGAAAATGTACAATGTCTTCAATTCGATTTGTTTCGATACATAGTCTACGTAGTCTTTAATTCATCTTCATCGTCTTCATCATCATCATCATCATCATCATCATCTTCACCATCACTATCATCATCATCAGCAGCAGTATTATCAGCAGTAGTGTGATCCTTGTCTGCGTCGTCGTTCTCATCAAAATCATATTGATATCATTATTATCAATGTCACCACCATTACATCATAACAAATAAATCTCCCTTTATTGTTGTTTTTTGGTGGTACGGCTGACTGAACCTGCTGAACACTTTGTATAAATAATTTACCATGCATCTCCATCATTGCCATTGTCATCATCATCATCATCATCATCATCATTCTCATCATCATCATCATCATCATCATCATCATTCTCATCATCATTATTCATCATCATTATCATCATCATCATCATCATCATCATCATCATCATCATCATCATCATCATTCTCATCATCATCATCATCATTATTCATCATCATCATCATCATCATCATCAGAGTGTCGATACATCCAGCGCATACTTCAAAGACAACACAATCAAGAGTCGATTATTTGGATGTATTTCATAGTGAATAGATTTATTCATATATAATAGCGATGTTCATTTTCACTCTTAACAATTATTGTGCTCTAAAATCCTTTTTACACTCAACAATGCAAAAAATAAGATACCTCTAGCCATTAACAAACAATTGTCTGTATTTAAACCTCATAGCTGGTATACACATTTATATAAAGCTGTCCAAAATATCATATTTATATGTAAAAACAAACAATACCAGATTGCAGACATGTAATATGACATCATACATGCGAAAACACCACGTGATCAATTAAAGAAAACAGCATAGTTCCATTATCAAAATGGTAATAATTATAATAGTTACGAAAGCAGTCGTTATGCCGCTCCACTCTACATGAAGACTAGAATACGAAGATCTGATAACAAAATGGCCATCATCGGTTTTCATGTTTCTGGGGCGCAGTTCAAAAGATAGAAAAGTGGGTCACTTGGTAACCGTTGTGATTGAAGTAAAATCAATGCAATACAAACAATGTTTTTCGTGACAGACACAATGATGATAATTTGCTGTTAAATCAATATATTCGTAGAAACAAAGAGAAGGCCTGCCTTTTTCACGTGTACGGTACAAATGAGTAGAGACCTACATCTATACTGACCTAAAAGGAGAAAAGAATATGAAATTCTTCGGTTTCAATATAAATCATGTATACTTTAGTAGAAGTGGAGAAGAAAAGGAAGGCGACAATGATAGATCGACGAGTAGAAGATGAAGATAGAAAGATAAGGAGGGAAAGAGGAAAGGACAGAGAGAGAAAGAAAAGTGGATGTGGGTCGGAGGAGAAGGTGGCATTGAATGGGAATTATCACAATCAAAGCCGTGAGCCTTTTCCGGCATCTAAGTACAAATATAAATTACATATTCTCATAAAAGAGTAAAAATCTAAAGTTACTTTGGTTGACAGACTCTGAGGCACAGATTTAGACAGAAAACTAGATCTTCCCTTCTCAGCCTACTGACAATTCCTCTGCGTTGAATCCAGTTTTAACGCAAATTTGGCAAACGTCCAGTCTTCATTTCTGAGTTAAATTCTTTCTCGAAGCGGAGTTTAATCCCTTCATACGTCATGCACTACTCCTTCTCCCCAGCCGCTACTTCTAGCTTTCTATCCTGGCTTTAAAGTATCAGTTCATCATTACTTCATGTATTTGAAATAGGTCATCGAATGCGGAAATTATGTTATTATAGACAGGAAGTCCTGCGTAAAGAGTGACGTCCTTCTACTCACGTGTTATAATTTTCAACGATTTTTTCTTTTAATGACAACTATTTGAGCTTTTAGTATACATTCGATTTTCCTTACAATTTGAAGATGCCTTCATTTAGACATAATACCATTTGGAGACAATGACTGTTATCAAACTGAATTAAAACGCCCAATTATTTATTAAATGAATGAATCAATGAAATAGCTATTTCAAGTTATAGATATTCGATTTGAAAAAGACTGAATTGATTGCTCTAGATGAAGGAAATGTTTTCTCAGTTTCACTTCTATTGAAAGTCGAGGTTAACGACAACTTCACTTTCTGTATCTCCTGGTAAAGGATGGAGAGGGAGGAATTAAAAAGGTAAGGGTTAGTTTGTTTGTGCGTGCATGTGTGTTAGAGAGTCATCATCTTATCAATGAAAGCACTTTAAAAGTTAATTATCCATAGATAAGCAACCAGTCACATAATGAGTATACCCTCTGTTATTAATTAATAATTGATTAGTGATCCCCGTAACTCATGTTGTATGCTAATACATCTTGGAAGTACCGTAATTATAATCAAGTCTGCTTAACTAGACACCGTTGTGTGTAACCTTTTGCTATACCTTCAGAGTGGGGTTTTAATGAGCTAATTGTTTTCCATTATTGGGTACAAGATAACTATTGTTTGAAGCGGTGACAAGAGCAAGTTTAGAATTAAAATGATATCATAATATTATACTGTAATTTATAGAAGACCGTAATGATTTAGAACAGCAAACGTCTTAAGCACCTTTCAATTTACTTCCTTCAGTGTAATAATCATTTACAGATTTTGATGCAAACATGACAAAATATATCTCATGAAAATATAAAAAATATTTGTTACATACGTAAAACAAAGGAAAAATGTTTGGGATTATTCATGTGATTCATAGTCATTCATTTCCGAACATGTTTTCCAGGTACCTCAATTATTTAAAAAAAGATTACCAGAACATTAGTTAACACAAAATAAGAGATATCTTCAGTTCTGATAAGCCTAATGAATTCATAAATAGTTTAGTGATATTTGTTTTCCTTTGGGAGAGGGGAGAGATTGTTCATCAAAAGATGTATAATTTTATTGCATAAACAAGAAAATGTAATTGTATCTTTAAATTTCCTTCTATTCTTTCCCCCTTCCTTTTGGAAATGAAACTCAGATCCTGATAGCTTTGAGACAGTTGTCTGAATCCTAAATAAACATTTTCAATCATTCTTAATAACACTTGCTGTTAAATTATATTACCAATATGACAAGCTTTTGGAATATGGCCAATTATGAAAGTGGAAATATCTAAGTATTCTTCCATTGCCTGAGAAATAACTCTGGCAATTAAATCAGTTAGAGAAATATAATCGTATTTCACGGAAGTAGCAAACGATGTTGTGCTTTACATAGAAAGTTCAGGGTACTTTACAACAATTAATGTGGTACGAAATTAAAAATTCAGGTTTATGTTAATAATAATAATAATAATAATAATAGTAAACATTTATAATGCGCCATGTCTGACAAGAATGACACTCCTGACGCAGGTGTGTGAAAATTGTATAATTGTGGGCATACGACCATCAAGTAATTCAAGAAAGAAAGAAAAATTCACATAAGTTAAAATTTAACATACTTCAGGACATAATTTAACAGGTTTATGTAAACAGGTTTCTTTTGAAATTAGATATCTTTTCAACAAAGTTGTTTCCTATCTTGCTCATCTTGAGTGATACAATGTTTGTGCATTATAATAATAATAATATTTAGTTCTTGTACAGAGCATATCACATTATATAACGTCCCTATGCGCTTCCTAAGAGCTTTGGAAATTATTACCCTAGCTTTAGCTCCGGCAGCCGATATCAGCGCGCAGTACATTTCAAGGAATAATCCTACCAGGTGCCCATTTACCTCACCTGGGTTGAGTGTGGCAAATGTAGATGAATGTCTTGTTAAAAGACATTAGTGCCGCGGCGGGACTCGAACCGCGGACCTTGTGATCCACAGTGCGGTGACATATCCACTCGACCACGACACCTCTACATTGAGACTATGATGAAGCAGTGTGTTCACATCTGACCCAGATAGCATAAACTTTAGTATGATAACCAATGTACTTGATACTCGATCACAAAGCTTAGGATACAAATCTCTCTTGAGCCACTTCGTATGCACTAACATGAACACCACATTCGGCAAAATCAACAGGTCTATGGACGAATTCTTTCCATCGACTTTTGAAAACAAATAGACATCGCGAGCCAATACTTTCAATTTCGCAGAAACAAACAATCTGGTGATGCATTGATATTAAACAAAGTAAGAAGCAAATGACATTGATAATCACGTACATAACCATGGACCAAAAATCCGAATTTCAGTAAAGAAATAGAAGTGAAAAAGTCTTGATATTAGATATATAAACTAAAATATCAACTTGTCGTAACAAAGCTCTTCTCCTATAAGGCAGATGTTTGCTTAGGAATGTATGGTGTTTTGGCCCCAATGATTATGCCAGAGATAAAGTGTGATGAATCTCAATTACGGTTTTCTTGTATACGCTCTCGCTTTCGATTGATTTTTCGATTCCACTGTTAGAACAGCTTGATTTTACCATATTCAACTCGTGACTAGATGATAATTCTCTAGATAGACAGTTGTTTACTTAGTCTTACCCCTAATGTCTGTACACCGACAATGACTCACGAAAGCTGTCAATTATCGGTGGGTACAGATAATCAAACTTAATCAATATACTCTTCATGATTTAATTACCACCGCTTTTTTAAAGTGCACGATTTCTTTGGAACATTAATTGAATGATAATTAAAAGTATTGAGGTTTGATGAAGGAGCTTCCGTTACTGAAGAGCGATATCACCCATAGAATATACTGAATCAATGCTCATGAAACGGGTACTGTCTTTCACAGAATGTCCTTCTATGTATTGTCTCTTTTTCTTCTTCAAGCAGCATTGGCAGAGAATTCGCTTAAAAGCTCGCTTAAAGTTACGGCTGGTGAAAGCGTAGATCGCTGGGTTTAATGCACTGTTTATAAAGCCGAGCCATGTTGCTAAGGGTATTACAAGGTCGGGAGAAAGTATGCAGGTCTCGAAACAAAATGGTGCCATCACATTGATAATGAAGAAAGGCAACCAACAGAGAATGAAGACACCAACGACGATACCAAGAGTCTTAGCTGCTTTATGTTCTTTGTTCATTCTGGAGAGAAGCCGACGACCAGCGGCTTGCGTGAGCGCGATTTTGGTGTCCCGTCGAACGTTAAGAGGCCGCATTTCTGGTGGTAGTCCATTGTGTAAGTTATTATTGGAATGCTGGGTATTGAAGGTAGACTTTACCCCTCCCCCTCTGTGAATCCGCAAGGACACTGCGCCGTTCATATGCGATTTATCAGCTGCTTTGGCGCATACTAATTTGGTCCCTGATCGGATGTGTCTCATTTGAGTTACAGCCGCCCTGTAGATTTTGTAGTACGTAAACATCATGATTAAGCTAGGTAGGTAGAAAGACACACATGACGATATCACCAGATACCAAGGGTTCTGTGGAAAGATGCACATTCTAGGGGGATGCGGGGGCTCCACGGCACGCCAAACCAGGATGCAAGGGAATGATATAGCAGCCGAGGCGAGCCACACAACAACGATGAGAAGTCCTGCCATCTTTTTGGTAACTCTCGTAGGGTAGCTCATTGGATGCGTGACTGCCCAGTACCGATCCAAAGAAATGACACAAAGGTTCAGAATAGAGGCCGTACACCCTAAAACGTCGAACGCGTGCCATAAGTCACACCAAATGGCATCAAAGAACCAGTACCCGGCGGTCAAAGTGTCAATGATCGCAAATGGCACCACAATGCTTCCCACCAACAAATCGGCAAAAGCGAGTGAAACAATGAAATAATTTGTTACCGTCCTCAGATTCCGTTCTCTGTATACAGCAGCAATTACAAGTGTATTTCCGAATATGGTAAGGCAGCAACATAAGCAGAGCACGCAACCCACCGCAATGGTCCTAGGTATCCCTTGACCATCAAGTGGACCCCGGAATTCATCCATGAGAAGCTCAGATGTGTTACCTGTTGAGTTACCCGATTCATAGTACCACTCCTTGGTATTCGCGATAGTATTCTCATCTCCTGAAGGCGACATGACCGATCGCGCCAAGTGCGAAGTATGGGATGATCGGTTGTCATCTCTCTCCATGGTCACCAAGCCATGGACTGTTGTCATTTCATAATGTCTCGCGATGAACTGACCGGGAAACATTTGCAAAAAATGTGTGGCCAGATGATGGTCGTGAACGATGTTGGGGATAAATTCCCTTCAGTTCTAATTTGTCCTTTTACCTTGTCTGCATTAAGTAATTAGTTTAGCCGATTTTCTCCACTCATTGAAGTAAGCCAAACAAATTACTTGTAAAAGATTGCACCAACAGTTCTCAATACGATCGTTTTGCTCTTGTAAAAGTTCACTCTAGACTAGTGATATTGTTTTTTCTATTTCAAAGGGCTTCGTTGACAAAATGAGTTCGCTTCAGAACATGGATATGGATGCAAGTCGATGTTTCTATAGGTAATATGCTTCAACATGCGAAATCATTTCAACAATTCAGGTTGACAAAGTACCTCCGGCGAGTATCAAATCCCGAAATGCATATCACTCAACAGCTTTCCATTTTGTCTCCATAGATGAGGTATTCTATCAATCGTGAGGGATCAGGCAGCCTTGCAAGATACCGTCACCAAAAACAATGTTCTAAAAAACGAACAGGATATATTTTCCAAGCCTTATCCACAATGCTGAAAGTCATTCCAAGCGAATAATTTCCCAAACGTGTCTCCCCAAAGGTTAATGATCTGCTGGCTATCGGCTTGAAAAAAAAGTTGCCCGATTTTATGTTTGGCGCGAAACAGCAGGGCAGGCTCCCTCCAGCTTTACATCCAGAATCACGAATGCCGTTCTTTATCTCGGCAGCTTCACCCATTGCAGTGTTTGCATGCAAAGCAATACGGCGCATGCGTGGTACGTGCACGCTCACTCGTTCGTCCCCGTCTGCATTTGCACAAACAAAAAGTGATTCAGAAAATCAGAAGACTCGAGATGCCGAGTGGAATAAATTAGTAGTCACTGATGGTAGAAAGGAGAGAGATAAATACGATTCGCTCGTTGATGGTGCGTTATCTCAATTAACCCAATCTAATTAATGGTGATGTATTAATTTTCGAGTTCATCGATTTCTGATCGGGATTCTTAAGCTGGCTATAAATTCAGCATGTGTTTTGAATAGAAATCCAGAGGTTAAACAACCAGAAGATATATGGCGTTGCAAATAATTATGACATGTGTCTATGTTACATGCATCGTTTGTTTCAATGTGTATATCCCCGGTTAAATCATCAAATGTGTAAGATATAAAATCCAGTGTGTGTTGAATGGAAGCATCACTCCTTCTTCTTTAAATGCTGATGTATTCCCAGAATCCCGACAGCATTGTCACCCTGTAATGAAAATAAGAAAGCATGAATGAAAAAAGGTATCAGATAATTACAAATATATGAAAACAATTATGATGATGATGACAAATAATTACCATTCGGTTGAAAAAATACAAATTGTATTAAGGTCATGAAAAAGAGGACAATAATTGGAGGATATATATAACATATAGCTGTTTCTAACGACACGATCCTAACTGCTCTCGGAAAATCTACCTCATGCAAGTATAGTTGCCTTGTACGTCACATAATGACATGAGCGAACATTGCTATGACAAATTACGTAATCTGAACAAGATTTTGATTGGACATACAGTAGCGTACTTAAATCGTCCTTGGGTTGATTTTTTGCGATGGTATAATAAGATCAAAATAGACGAAACCAAACAGGTCAAACAACTGAAACACAGCTGCTCATATGCCATATAATACTTCCCGTCAGATGAAATCGTTTTCTGATTCTGTCAATAAGATTGTGATCGGAAAATATTGAAATTCCAGGAAGATGCTTGTTTGTCAAACAGGATTTACTTTTTGTATTACTCCATGCAGTTTGAATCCTTCCCAAGGAGGGTGACAAATTTCATTATAATGAATGAAGCATGTAACACTTCGATAAATGTTATGGTATACGAAAATGTAGATAAATTATCATATGAGTATTATATCTTGTGTAAACAAATTTAAAAAAAATGCATACTGAAATTGAAACGTAATTCTTCACATCAAATTAAGCACGCTTCGCGACTCTGTTACAGAAGCCATACGTTCTATGAGATTCCACCTATCATTATAACAATGCGGATTTGTAAAATTGATTACTGCTATACATTCCGACAAGCATTACAAAAGGGAAAACTCAAAGGTGTGTTTTCATATATCGAAGTAATACAAATGATGGCGGAGTTATATGTTTCATGACCACAATAACAATATACGTTAGTGATTATCTGGCGGAGGGCTGTCTGTGATTAGTGCCTTGAAAATGAAATATCAACGTTTTATGTGGCTTTTAACCATAGCAACGAGACAGAATACAAATAAACTTTCACTTTCGTTTCACCTTATTCATGTCTGTCATAAATATATCATTTTCTCTTGTCTGCAGCGAATCCATTCATAATATATTCAGTAACTACGCATGGGTGCATTGAAAGGGGAACGCTCATGTTTTTTCGAGCCCTTTCTCTCCCACTCTTTACCATTCCTACCTAACCTTTTCAATCCAGCCAATTGAACTCTAACTTCATGACGTATCAAATCCATCCAACTAAAGTGACGTTATTTGCTTTTGAAAATATTATCAACATCGCATCAAACTGCGGGAAATGAGTCTCGACAAAATGACGTCATGATTATTTGATTCGACCTTCCTAATGGTTAGTTCACGTGCAACAAAAACACCCGTATTGATACCCAAAAACCTTACCCTCCCACTTCATGAACTATTATGCATGCTTGTAGTGGTGTCAAGAAAATCGACACACTTTCCGCTTACAAGGTCTCGCCTTACATTGTCAAAAACACACTTACCTTCCAAGAAAGAGAAACAACAATTAACAAACAACATCATCTTCCTAACGCTTTTACATTCATTCTACGGAATAATGTGACGTAACATGACGACAACCCGGAAAAAACAATGCAGATAATTCATGATATATTTTGTTGTCTCATTTTAGTCAACACTTCTCGAATTCATTGATGAGTTAAGTACCGAAACGCTCAGAAGGAGACGAGTGACTCGCGAACGATCAAGGGGCATTCTCCACTTGAATTCAACACTGACATCAAATTTAAGGGAAAAGGAAATTCCCCCTTCATTTCCCCTACTTGAAAAAGCAACACAAACAATCTACTGACAATATCTAGAGCAATTCAAATAATGCGGTAATCTATAATTCTTACTGTCATGGGATATTCTAGCTTTATATTGTTGTCTATCGTACATTTATCTTTATCAATAACATTCCCCCTCTCACATTATCGTACATGTTTAGATGGAAACAACTTAATGAACAAGACAAGACGGTGGATCGTTTTAAATATTTAGTAAGAAATGAAAGGATATCACATGAGCTAACCTTTAACATGTTTAAATAAGTGACAGTCCTCTTGACAAGAAAACAACTTACTGTTATAGCAAGATAGAGAAAAGAGAGAGAGAGAGAGAGAAGGAGATAGATAGATAGATAGAGAGAGAGAGAGAGAGCAGGGGAGAAAGTAAGTAAGAAAGAGAGAGAGAGAGAGAGAGAATGAGAGAGAGAAAGAGAGAGAGAGAGAAGGGAGAGGAAGATTAGGTGCGAAAGGGAAAAATAAATTACTTAGGTTTCTAAGAAACACATGAAATACACAAAAACAGGGGTAGGAACGTTTTCACTATTTATTTCAAGGGGATAAGGATGCTCGTCCCTAATTTTTTACGACTGATGATAATTATCACCATGAAAATAATTATCATAATAATAATAATAATGATAATAATACTACTACTTCTGTAACTACTAATAATAATGACTACTTTGGATCATATTACATGGTACGGAATCGGCCATTGGACGGACATGAGGTAAGACTGGTCAATCACCTCCTGGTCACAGAAGCGTTGACAAACTGCCCCTCCCCCTCCTTATTTCATCACGCACGACTTCGCCCACCGACCCGCGCACCGGACGGTCAAATCAAAGGATATTGATGCAAAGTAACAAGGTCATTTGAAGGTGATTTCATAGATAGATGTGAATCAACTGCCCGCTCCTTCTCCATGCTCTTGCATAAATGAAGGCGGGCGTATTAATGAAATTACAACTTGCACGTAGTCCTGCCTCTTCAATGCATGCACTTACACACCTGACGATGACATGAAAAGCATTGATTGCACGGTTTCATAAAGACTGCATTGAGAAAGAACTTCATTAAAGCAAAAAAACAAAAAAGAGCCAATTTTGTTATCGAATACATCGTTACCTTAAAAGAGAGAGAGGGAGAGAGAGGGAGAGAAAGAACAACTAATGAATATTTGCGATGCGTAACGACAAAATATATGGGCGAGTGATCATTGTGAGCAAAAACATCATTACCAACAACATAATTATCTTTCTATACCACCCCACTCTTTCCTCTTTCTTTCTTTTCCCCTCTCTCTCTTTCCTAATACTCGTCCTTTTTCATCCCTCTCTCTCTCTCTCTCTCCCCCGAACACTCGTCCTTCTTTTCTCTCTCCCTCTCTCTCTTCCCAAAAACTCGTCCTTTCTTTCTTTCTCCCTCTCTCTCCCCGAACACTCGTCCTTTCTTTCTTTCTCCCTCTCTCTCTTCCCTAATACTCGTCCTTTCTTTCTCCCCCTCTCTCTCTCTCCCCCTGAACACCCCTTTTTTCTTTCTCTCTCCATCTCTCTCTCTCTCTCGTTCACTGGCATACAAACTCATAAACAGGACCAACTGAATCTAATTCCCCTCTTCCTCATTCTCAAGGCCTTGCCCTGTCTCTCGTCATAACACTCGACCTTCTTTCACCATCGGAAGTATCCGATAACACTACAGACCGGAGAGTGGTGAGGACAAAAAATAATATGAAAGTGAAGACAGGAAATAAAACTACCATGTAACAAAGGAAAGTCATTCAGTGACTGCCCACAAACGGAAACATAGGAACAAGTCAGAAAGTGGATATTAAGGGGCGGGCAAAGTCAATGAAAGGGTTTCGACATCAATCGAAATAAAGTAATTATTTGCGAAGACGCAAACTTCTTCTGAAGACGTCGTTACAAAAAAGACACCCCCTCAGTTTCCTCGATAATGAACAAACTGGAGCGATGCACATTGGGTAAAATAAGTACAAGAACCCCAGAAACAGCCTTACCCCTCCCATTTTACCTCTAGATTATGGTTGCACTTTGTGCCAGATCAATATAGAATTATATCAACAATTTTATCTCTTTTATTTAATTTGTCTTTAAAGTTAAATAAAATAGAGGTAAACATGTAAATAATCACGCTGAGGCGTCTCTGTTAGATGCAGTATCTTCGTGTTCACCTTCATTGTTATTCATCTCACTCTGATGCTCACTTTTTAGTAAGGCTCACTCAGAAAGGGGCCAGCATGGATTGAGTGATTTCACATCTACCTCCGATCATGGGAATCGAGACTCAAGTACTCGTTTCCCAGGTCGTTCATCTTGTTTGGCAAAGGGTTGGCACTTCAATGAAATTGTGAAATACTGGGATGTTATGCGATTTTATGTTTTCCTCCATTTTCTACGAACAAACAAACACATTTCTGTATTTCAGGGGAGGAAAATTGTCAAAGAATCATCGGTAATGAAATGAAATGGGGTTAGCTCACTTTAACCTATGGTATGAGATACTTGATGTGTCATTGCCTTGCCAAACAGTCTAGGCACTCAAACATTACATTTCCAGCTAGACAGATACTTTCTCAGTAAAATATTTTAAAGGTCGCCCATGCTAAACGCATGAAAGAAAACGTCATTTTACATAATAGCCTGGAAAATATCATTCAAACAGTATCAAAATTAATAATGAGAATTATTCAAGCATTTAAATTTCTCAGACAAAGTTGAAACGTGATTATGAATGTATGATATCTTAAGATGATGCTTGTACTTCCTGAACCGTCCACCTCAAAT